ATAAATCCAATCTCTTCCAGTTTGATGTAGTGGTTAGGAGTGTGGACTCTAATCTGGGAGATCCAGGTTTATTTATTTATTTATTATTTTATTCCATTTATACCCCGCCCTCCCCGCACGGGGGCTCAGGGCGGCTTACAAACACAAGGTGGAATACAATACCACAGTTAAAAACAATTTAAACACAGTGGGCCGCTCCCACGGATCCATCGCGACTAACATACTCGCTCCCTATTGCACATCTCATTGTGGTCCAAAAGGAGGATGCTATAGGCTATGCTGTTCGGGTAGCCAGTCAGCCCAACCCAGCGGTGCTGCTCTACAGTTACCCGTTGGTGGTGGTGGTGGCGGCGGCTCCCATTCGAAAGCCTGGCGGAAGAGCTCCATCTTGCAGTCCCTGAGGACCTGTAACAGGTCCCGCAGGGCCCTGATCTCCTCCGGGAGCTCATCCCACCAGATAGGAGCCGCCACCGAGAAGGACCTGGCCCTTGTGGCAGCAAGCCTGGCCTCTTTAGGGCCCGGGATCACTAGGCGGTGTTCTGACCCCGACCAAAGTGCTCTTTGGGGCCTGTATGAGGAAAGGCGGTCCCTCAGGTATGCCGGGTCCTGGCCATGTAGGGCTTTAAAGGTAAGCACCAGCACTCTGAAGCGAATCCGGAATGCTATAGGCAGCCAGTGCAGCGCTTTCAGTACAGGTTGGATGTGGTCCCATCTAGAGGCACCCGCAACCACCCGGGCCGCCACATTCGGCACCAGCTGCAGCTTCCGAACTTGCGACAAAGGCAGCCCCATGTAGAGAGCGTTGCAGTAGTCTAGCCTCGAGGTAATCGTCGCATGGATCACTGGGGCCAGGTTTTCGCGGCTAAGGAAGGGGACCAACTGCCGCACCAGCCGTAGGTGATAAAAGGCTGCTTTGGCAGTGGCTGCCACCTGGGCCTCCATCGTTAAGGTGGGGTCCAGGAGCACTCCCAAACTCCTAACCTCTGAAGCTGGCACCAAAGGCGCCCCATCGAAGGCCAGGAGCGGGAGCCCCAATCCCATACCGCTCCGATCCAGGCACAGGACCTCCATCTTCGCCGGGTTAAGCTTCAGCCAACTCAGCCTGAGCCATCCAGGTACAGCCTGTTTGATTCCCCATTCCTCCACCTGTGGCTGCTGGTGTGACCTTGGGTCAGTTACAAGTTATTTCAGAGCTGTTCTCTCAAAAGCAGTCCTCGAAAGAGCTCTCTCAGCCCCACCTACCTCACAAGGTATCTGTTGTAGGGAGGGGAAGGGAGATTGTAAGCCACTCTGAGACTCCTT